AAGGAGAAAAATGGAGCCTAAGGTAGACTTTCTTGTGTCTTGACATCTAGCATAATCTGAATCTGAACTAAGTTTTTCAATAAGGGTGCTTGCCATTTGCTTTCCATATTTTGTGAATTGGGCATCCACTGCTGTTAAATAATTAGTGGCCTAAGGGCATTCTAATGCTTTTAGAAATATTTGCTTTAATGAGCATTAGACTTAGACAGTTCAAGCATTCCCAATTCTCAAAATGAACTTTATACTGATATCAACTCATGCTAATAATCAATCATAGACTAAAATAAATTACAATTTATCTATGGGCAAAAATCATAATCATTCTAGTTTGCTAAACATAGCACTAAAAAATTTACTAGACATACTTTATAGTCAAAGTTTATTCAATCTTGGTTAATTATACTTTATAGATTATCTGTATGTAAAATCTATAATGCATAATATCATTATATTTAACAATAAGACTAAAGTATTACACAATAAAATAATGAAAAATTTTCTTACCTGCTATTTTATTGTTTCACATTTTATCTCATTCCAACATTGTACATAAAAATCAATAATCCCTTTAGGGACATTATTTATTTAAATGCACTAGTTGCAAATTATAATAATGTCATACATATACCATTGCATCAATTTATAATTACAAATAAGAAATTTTAATTAATTAATGTGGCTGAAATTTAGTAAAATAATGTTGGGCCTTAAAACTGAAACCCATTTTAATTTTTCCATGGGAGAAGAAAATTGGGCTTGGAATCTGAAATCTGCTTCTTAAAACCCGTTTTCAGTGGACTGAGCAGCATTAAAAATAGGGCTTGAACTGAAAACGCATTTCTACTTCCTGATGCCCATTTTTAGTGGGCTATGCAGAAATGAAAACTAGGCCCCATTTCTGCTTCCTTGAGCCCATTTTCGTGGGCTGGGCAGAAGCCAAAAAATGGGCCCAAAACATAATCCATCAACTCCTATTGTAGCAGTGGCATAGCTGTAAATATTTCAAATATATATTATGCATTTCTCAATTTAGAAAATAACATAACATATTATCAATGTCAGCCAAACGACATGCATTGCATTAAAATAAATTCCAGAATACCAAAATAACATGTTCAATAATTTACATAATATTCCCGAATTTAAATTTTTTTATAATTATTTAGACATTTTCAAATACCCAAAAATAATTGTAAAAACCCACACATTCTGGAAAATTACAAATAAAATATTCACATGTAGATCCATCAACCAACATTCCATAAATGTAAATAACATCATCAAATCAATATAATAAATACTTAACTTGTTCAGAAAATTCCAGAAAAATATGGAAACACATAACATGCAATTTTAAGTATTATATTAGAAACGGCGTCAAAATCCGTCATTTCTATGGCAGGGGGTGAAATTCACTCACTTGGAGTGAGACTGGGAATGAACAGTAAAAAAGTTCATCCCTAACCTTTGAACACAAGCATTTCTAGAATATTTTATTCGACCCCAAAATTTTAAATCATCAAAACTTTACAATCCGAACTCCAAGTTTGGCAAATAATATATAGGTAGAAACCTATTTCAACAAGGCTTCCAATGATATCAAAATCGAAAATTGATTTGCTTTATACAAAAAGTTATTTTCATTAGTTCCCACACAAAACATCTTAATAATTAATTATCACATTAATAAACGTGAAACATATGATAATTAGGTATGTAAATACTCAAAAATTGTTCTGATACCAAATGTAAGAGTAAAAACTAAATTTACAAATTATAAGCATTATTATATAAAATGCCAAATAATTATTTACATACTTCTGTTGGGACCAATTGGTGATTTTTGCCATTGATGTTTAAGTTGTTCACTTCTACATACGACTCAATTGACTCAATTCCGGATATCTTTTCCCAGTCTTTGATTGCTGGTTTCAATACAGATTTCCCATACTTGTTTAATGTATTCACTATTCAGATATAGTTTTATATTTGGTTGTAGACTTGCACCTTAACAGCCATTGACAACTTGTAGAAAGATCATACTGAGAATGTTCTTTTTTTTTTGCTTTGTTTTATTTATTTATTTTTATAGGAAAGTCTTTATATATTACGTGAAAATCAATACGTATAATTATTTGCTTAAGGAAAATAATTCGTAAGTCGATTTATCCAATAATTTTGTTCTTGTAACATTTAGTTTGTGTTGTGAGGAGACATTTTATTTGTGAAAGAAGTATTGATAATTATAGATGTTATATGGTCAAATTATAAGACAAAAATTCTTGACACGTGTCCTGTGGCCAAGTAAACTGAAGCATGCACTTTCGCCGCATGTTTTGTGACCATGCATCTATCTAGGTTGTGTGTCACATATAAGAGTTACTTCACTTGTAAGGCTGTTAAAAGCCGCTTCAACAGTAAGGTATAGGATTGAGCTGTTAAATAGGTCACGTGACATCTTGTGAGAGAACTACTTCACTATTAAGTTTTAAATAAGGACGATTTAAAAAACAAAAAATAAAGTAAAAAGAAAAATACATAAAAAAAAAAAAAAAAAAAACAAAAAAAAAAAAAGAAAAAAAACACAAAAAAAAAAAAAAAAAAATAATAATATAAAAAAAAAAAAAAAAACAATACTAAAAAAAAAAAAAAAATATTATAAAAAAAAAAAAAAAAAAAAAAAAAAAAAAAAGAAAAAAAAACAAAAAACAAAAAAACAATAAAAAAAAATATTATAAAATATTCTTATTAATTAAATAAAAAAATTATTATTATTATTAATTAAAAAAAAAAACATAATAAAAAAAAATATAAAAAAAAAAATAAAAAAAAACACCAAAAAAAAAAAAAAATACTTATTAATGATAAAAAAAATCACAACAACAAATAAATTAAGTATGGCGTTTACAAATCTAAAAATGGTAAGAATATAATCATATTAAATTAATAAATATGTTATTGATTGAAAGTTTGAGACATGTGAGGTATTAATTTAAAAGTAAACTCTTTTTATTTCCTCTTTTGTAGGTTGGTGGTGCCAAAATTAACCAATGGAAAAGATAAGTGAAAATTACTCCCTCATTTTTTATATAAGAGTCGTTTTAAGTTTGGGCACGATTTTTAATAAAAAAAATTTGTCCCTCCCACCCAACTTTTTCCCTTGATTTTGCAGGTGGGAAACTTTCCCGCTGCATATTTAAATAATTTGCATTTGTCTTATTTACGCCTTCGAACCCCTCGACTCCACACAGCAACTCGGCGAAACGTGGCTCCTTAAAGTCGAAGAATTGACCTCCGGTAAAGTATGAGTCGGGGATCCTGTCTTTAAACTTTGTTCTGAAAAAGAGAGAGAAGATAGAAGTAGAGACGCAGAGTAGAGAAAGAAGAAGTGGGCGATGGAAAATATGGAAGCGAGGAGAAGAGGGGAAGAGATAAGATAAGATAAAGAGAGACCGAGGAGATGTGGGCCATGACGAAAAGTGGAGAAAGGACAAGACAAGGAGCGACTTTTAATTTGAAAAAATAAAACATCCTTAAAATAACTTTTATATAAAAACAGAGGGAGTAATAATTATCTTTTATAATTTTGTCATAAATTGGAATAGTAACTTTTCTTATATATGTTCAATTCACAACCCATAGTAAAACGATAACAATTAAAAGTGTAATCGTAAATACTTATAAGTGTATTATTTTTGTATCGGATGATGTTATTATATAAATTGAAGTGATATAACTCTTTTATTGTCGCATTAGTCATCTATTGAATTGGTTTTTTATATGCATTATTCATTCATTTTGTCCCCATTAATTTCCATGAAAAAGCTTGTACATCTAGTATTATTCCTAGATTATTCACTAGTACTAAGGTATCTATATAGCTCGACCATAACCTATAGCTAGAAGTGGAAATTAATGAATAACATCAAGAGAAGTTGGAGAAGATTAATAGATTTATTTCCATCTCAAACAAAAATGAAAGTGCTTTCTTCTTGTGTACTTCAACACAGATTCTTTTCTTTACTTGATTATCAAACATGCCCATTTTATACCTTGCTTCATCTAATAATCTTCCCTATACTTTACTTCTTTCGTTATACACTAACCAATTGCTTTTGGTTGCTCTTTGTTCACTTTTTACAAAGAAATACAAATTCAAACTGATCTTGTTTCTATTCCTTCTTGACTTCAAGTTCTTTAACTTTCTACGCCTATCTTAACAAAATATTCGAAGAAACAGAAGCTTGCTAATTCAGGTACAACATATTTTCTTTTAGGCAATTGTAAATTTGTATTATTTATTCATTAATTTTGTCCTATAAGGTGTTATATTGTAACAAATAGTTGCATAGAATTAATCTTCTTATCGTGATATGTATTTGATATTTCTTCCTCTCATACCATTTTGTGATCGTGCACAGTCACAGATTATTATATTTTATCTTATTTCTCAACAGTTTCTTTCAAAAATCTGATAAATATTTATATATGAACTATAAGCTTATTTACTGACAAAGTTAGAGACCAGATGATGAAAATTAAGAGCTGAGAAAATCATGTTTAATAGCGATACTTAAGAACTCGCAAGGCCATTTCTGGTTTCAAGCAGTTGCCCCAAGGCCATGCATTTACTGCCTTCAGTGACACCGTGACACTGAATTTATGTCGTTTGTGTTAGATTTGAATTTCAGTTTGATTCAGTTGTTTTTATTTTATTATTTATTGTTTTTTGTTTTTTAGATTGGTGAACGAGAAAATTGGGATAGTTTGTTTGCGTGCTGAACGAAAAAATTTGGTGAAGTGTATTGGATGAAATGAAAAAAATAATTTAATGTTTGTTTGGTTAATAAAAAAATCAGCTTTTCTTGTAAACTCTACTTTGAATTATAACGATATATATATATTTTTTAATTAATTTTCACCATTATTAATCTAGTTTGAATATATTAAGATGGAAAGATTTCAATAATGTAACACTAGTTATCTTTGTCCAGGAACCAATGGCGGCCGACAAGGATCCCCGAACTCCATTGTGCAAATATGTGAAAAATTATATGAAGATTCATGAACAGACAGAAAATCTCAAAGGAAAGCTGGCCGACTTAAAATCCTGTAAACAACGAATCGAAGAGAAAGTGACTGCAGAATCCAGGCAGGTGATATCACCACACCTAAAACCTGACGTCGTTGAATGGTTGAAGAATACCGAGAAGATCATTGAACAAGCACAAGACATTGAGCAGAAAGTGAAAGAAGCCAAAATGTTCTCACTCAAACATTTCCAACGTGAAATTCAAGATGTTGCCAAGATGATTGAAGAAATGGAGAAACTTCGTCGGAGTGGTTTAGAGCTTGAGGGTCAGAAGTTGGTGAATGAGGCACCTCTTGCTCGCGGAGTGGAACGTACAACAACAACATTAATAGGTGAAACAATGAAGAAAAATATGGGTGAAATTTGGGAATATTTGACGGGAAATGAGGTCGTGAAGATCGGAGTTTGCGGTATGGGAGGGATCGGAAAAACAAATATCATGGAACATATCAACAACAAACTCCGGAAGGATGCACATGATAAGTTTGAGTATGTCGTTTGGATCACTGTGTCTCAAGCGTTTGAACTTGTTAAATTACAAGAGCAAATTGCAGCTGGCCTCGAAGTAACTCTCAAAGAAAAAAATGATACGAAAATCCGGGCGGAGACGTTAAAGAAAGAGTCTGCTAAAAAAAAGTTTGTGTTGATATTGGATGATATGTGGGAAGAAATCAAACTGGAGGAAGTGGGGATCCCTGAGCCTACTAAAGAAAATGGATGCAAATTAGTGATAACAACTCGTTCGATAGATGTCTGCGACTTGATGAAATGTAAAGTTCTCGAACTGAAGCTTTTAACAGCGGCTGAAGCTTGGGGGTTATTTTCAGAGAAAGTGGGAAACATTAACTCGGATGATCCAGAATTAGAAGAAATTGCAAATTCTGTCCTTAGGCAATGTGCCGGCTTGCCTCTTGCCATTGTCACAGCAGCTGGTAGTATGAAAGAAAGACATGACATTGAAGTTCGGAGAAATGCACTTGAAGAATTGAGTCAAAAGAAAGTGGATATATGTAAGCAATTACGAATCAGTTATGATCGTTTAAAGGAAGAAAAACTTCGACATTGTTTCTTGTATTGCGCTTTGTATCCTGAAGATTTCAAAATCTCAAAGAATGAGATAACCGGTTCTTGGATTGCGGTAGGACTTGTGGATAAAAGGAAGAGTGTTCAAGAAAGTTATGCTGAGGGCCTTTCTATACTGAAAATATTTGTGAATAATTTCTTGTTGGAGAGTGATGGTGATGGAAGATGGGTGAAAATGCATAGTTTATTAAGAGTCATGGCAGTGCATATTACAAGTGACAGTCCTCGATTCATGATAAAATCTGGATTACAATTGAGAAAATCACCGGAGGAAGAAGAATGGGAAGAAACTAATCCTGAGAGAGCATCCTTAATGTGGAATGAAATATCTGAAATTCCTTCAAATATGTCTCCAAATTGTCCAACTCTTTCAACCTTGTTGCTACAGAGAAATCCCGTGGAAAAAATTCCTGAATCTTTCTTTGTCAACATGAAGGAGTTGAAGCTTCTTAATCTTTCCTACACCAAAGTTGAGGCTCTGCCGAGCTCTATATCCGACTTGACGAATCTCCGCACATTGTTGCTCCAATTCTGTGAAAAATTACAACATGTCCCTTCTCTTGAAAAGCTTTCCTCTCTTCTCACTTTGGACCTCCGATGCACAAGCATAAAAAAAGTCCCTGACGGCATCGAAAAGTTGGTAAATCTTACATATCTTAATCTTTATTCACTGAAGATAGATGAGTTACCAACAGGGAAAGAGCTATCTCAATTAAAGGGTCTTCAGGAATTGAGAATATATTGGGGGAAGAAAACTTCAGCAGAAACGGTGGAAGAGGCGGCTAGATTGAATAATTTGGAAACTTTTGGGGGGCATTTTCATAAACTAGATGACTTCAACCTGTATGTCAAATCCTTGGAGCCTGAACGTCAAGCACCGAAAAGTTACAATCTTCTGCTGGCGCCGGCATCGGAATTTGATATGTCATTTCCTGTAAAAGATGTTTATATGAAAGATGTAACCTTGTGGGATTTCAACATCAGTGAAGGAGAGGGTTCTGTTGTGATCCCGAGTGACGTGAAGCGTCTAAAGATGAATCACTGCGACGTCATAAGAAGCTTAAATGATGTTATGTCTAGAGGAAGAGGACTTACAGTTCTCTGCATCCATGGTTGCAGAAATTTACAACAGTTGTCATCATTTAAGGTGCTAAGCGGCCTGACAAACCTGGAAGTCATTGATATCAAGTCATGTTTTGAGATGAAGGAGATAATAGCACCCGATGTCAAGAAACAAGACGAAGAAGGAACAAGTAGCAGCGAAAAACAAATTTTTCTCCCGAAATTGAGAAAGCTGCAGTTGTGGTTTCTGCCAGAATTGGAGAGCATTAGCAAAGAAGAAATAAATTGTGGCGTTCTCCGAGAAATCGACATCCGAAAGTGCCCAAAACTCAGAAAGCTGCCTCTTTTTGTTGATCCTCCGCCTGCAACTACAGAAATCAAGATAGGAAAAGGGTTGTGGGAATCATTGGAGTGGGAAAATGTCAATGCTAAATATGACTTGCATCGTCATTGTCAGTTCATGCCCTATTATTGAAGCCATAATTGAAACTTGTGAGTAGTTCTTTAAAGAATTATTAATTTTTGCCTTATAATTAATTCTTTTTTATTTTCTAAATTTGTTTCACTAATTATTAGTTATTTGCATAATTTTGCAGGATGTGTAATTAATTAACCATGTCAAAGCTGATTCGATCATGATGAGGTAAACCGAATCTTGTATTATTAAAAGTAACTCATTTTTCTTAGTGCTATATATTTTTTATTTTTCCTGGTTAGGATGGGTTTCTTTTGTAAAGGATTTTTACATCCTTAGTCTCTTTTGAGCCGTTGTTGCCGGCTTTCCTCAAATAAACGACTTTTTTCCACCCAAATAAGAGCTTAATAATACTTTCCAACTTACAAACTTTTAAAATATCACTTTGTTATCCAAATTTATATTCTGTTTCTGATTCTGAGATCTTTATGACCCCACACCACTATTCTCTTTCTTAATCATTACTCACCAAAACCCCTCAAACCCTACTCCCGCTGACCCCGTTAATCATCGACAATTTAGTGATTAGGGTTTGTGTAACCGCCCCTCCCAAGTCAAATTTTGATCAATCCTAATTCCCCACCACCAAAATCCAACTTTCCACCATGAAAAGACTCATCGGCATCCCCTGTTCAAAAGCCCCAACAGTTGGTACCGATTTTGCTCTCTGTTTGCCGTCGAAATATAAATTTGAGTAGTAAAGTAGTATTTTAAAAGTCTGTAGGTAGAAAAATGTCTTTAAACCATTATTGGGGTGGGAAAAAGTCGTTAACTCAACTTTCCTTTGATGTCCTTAGGATGGCTTAGTTCTAGGGTTTACCCTCCTCAGTTTGTAATTCCTTATTCTTTTATAAAATTACCGCTTACAAAAAAAAAAAGATTATCTTCAAAATTTATTCATATTATTAGATAACTCTAATATAGATCAACCACATATCTATTATTCTTGAAATTCCGGCTTAAAATATAAAGAATTGTTAGAAATTTGTGCTTCATTTTAAGCTAAAACGAAAAAGAAATGTAAGTTAAGAATCATGGCATTAAGATAGAAATAATTATAAAATTGTACACCATTTTAACACAAAATGATACTAACCATACACTACAAAATCATGTTAACAAACTTACAAAATTAATGATTAAGTTAAGAAAAATTTTAATTAAGAGTAAACAACTTTTCCCACCCAAGGTTTGCCTTAGTGACACTTTCCCATCCAAAGTTTATATTCCATTAATACCCAAAATATACTTCACATTTTCAGTCGGTGTTTGGCGAGTTATCAAGAGCTACGGTAAGAGGGGTTTTGTAGAGTGGAGGTCGATGGATCGAATGGTGGTGACTAATTGAATATTCCTTACCGAAATCAGTTAAGAATAGGAAACCCAAACTTTGCGATAATAGATAATCGATGAGAAATCAGATGCCAGAATGAGAGATGCTTTGTAAATAAGAGACCAAAGGTTCAAATGATGTTGGAATCGGTCGGAATCGGCTTTGGCTATTAACGGAATAAAAAATTTGGGTGGGAAAGTAGTATTTTGAAACTTTTTGGGTAGAAAGAGTCATTAAGGCAAACCTTGGGTGGTAAAAAGTTAATCGTTAATAAGTCTATTGGCTCATATAATGTACTATAACAGTAATTGTAATAAAGAAAATTATAGGGTATTTAAATTTTGAGATATAGAATATTTTTAAAAGAAAAATCTTTTGAAAAAATAAAAATAAAAAAATTCAGCCCTCACTCATCCTTTTTATTTCAAAACTTACAATATTTTCATTTCTCTCCTTTCATCTTCTTGAGGAGGTGAGCACACAAAAAACAAAAACACAAAAACAAAACGTAGCCCCAAGTTCTTTTAATCTAAATAAATAAATTTTATATCTCTGCACACGCCCTCAGATATGAAACCCTAGTCACAAATTTTCTTCTTTCTCTCTTTAATAATGTTCATTTTTCTCTCTAGAATCTGCAATTTTTCTCTCAGGATCCGCCGTTCGATTCTTCAAATTTCCCTTTTTTGAGGTCCGAGTACATCTTTAGTGAATTATTTGATGTAGCGTTGTTAGAATTGATGCCTTTGCTGTGAAATATTGTGGGTCTGATTCATTTTTGGTGGTTCTAGGCCAAATTGAGATGAGGGTTTTGTTTTTTGGGGAAAGATTATTACTTTTTTTGTGATTTTATAGTCTTTTGTTTGTGGGTCGATTATAATTTATGGCTTAAGTTTGTTTTTGTTTGATTTTGTGCAGATCTTGGTGGAGTTGAGATTAGGGTTTTTCTTGTATTGAATGCAATTGTTAATTCTTGGTTCTAGAGAGGAATTTTGTTGTTGGTTTTTTGTAGTTTATAAGGAATGTCTCTGTTGCCAAAGGGCGATTCAATCCAAATTCGAGAGGTTTGGAATGATACTCTTGAACAAGAATTTGATTTGATTCGCCAAATCGTTGATGATTTTCCTTACGTTGCAATGGACACTGAATTTCCTGGCATTGTTTTGAGACCTGTGGGAAATTTCAAGAACAGTAATGACTATCATTATCAAACTTTGAAAGACAATGTTGATATGTTGAAGTTAATCCAGTTGGGCCTCACTTTTTCGGATGAGCAAGGTAACTTACCCACGTGTGGAACGGATAAATATTGCATTTGGCAATTTAATTTTCGTGAGTTCAATGTTAATGAGGATGTGTTTGCCACTGACTCTATTGAGCTCTTGAAACAAAGTGGGATCGATTTTGAGAAAAATAATGAGAAGGGTGTTGATGTAATGAGGTTTGGAGAGTTATTGATGTCATCTGGGATTGTTTTGAATGATAGTGTGCATTGGGTGACATTTCATAGTGGGTATGATTTTGGATACTTGCTAAAGGTCTTAACATGCCAGAATTTGCCTGATACACAAGCAAAGTTCTTTAATTTGATCAGAATTTATTTTCCAACTGTATATGATATCAAGCACCTGATGAAGTATTGCAATAGTCTTCATGGTGGATTGAACAAGCTTGCAGAGTTGTTGGAAGTTGAAAGAGTTGGGATTTGTCATCAAGCGGGTTCAGATAGTTTGCTTACATCATGTACGTTCAGGAAACTGAAAGAGAATTTCTTTAGCAGCCCATTGGGGAAATATGCTGGTGTGTTGTTTGGTTTAGGTGTTGAGAATGGACAAAATGCTCATTGAAAGTGAATATTAATTTAAAAAAAAAAAGGTTTTAGAAGTTGTTTATTCAATTGTATGAGTATGCCTTACATATACACCTCCTTGTACACTTTTGGTAACAATTTGCTTAATTAATGAATATTTCTTATGTTTATTATTTTTCTGTCAATTGCCTTCTTGTAGTGCACAACTTTAGAATCTCCTCCTGGCTTTGTGTTCAGTCTAGTTTGTTAATTGGTGCATTTTGTTTTACTTAATACCTAATATCAGTAATATGGAAGGAGCAGCAAATTACATGTGTAAGAGCCAAAGCAGATTGAACAAACAATGGTATGATACAACATATTTGCTAGTTTGACAAAGTAAATTAAACATTTTCTTACCAAAATAACACTTTTGCTTTAGGACTAGGAGTGTGATGGTTGAAGTTGAACTTCATAGAGAGCAGGAAGTTCTTGTCTTTTTTGTGCTGAACTTGATTGTATGATTTTTGTATTTATTTGTATCTCTCTGTTAAATAATTTCTTATTCATCGTATTTTAGATTCTCTTTTCTATCTATCCCCTTTCAGTTGGAATAATCATCAAAGTTCTGTTTTTCTATTGTATTTCATTTTTAGTGTGCCTGTGTGCCTGTTTTTCTTCTTTTGTCATGAAAAAGTGATGTTAGTCTCTTCTATTTTAACTCTTGTTTATGGTGTCTCAATTGGTTAACCTTCTTTTGTTTCAAATTACAAATCTTCCTTATTCCACCTGCTATTAGTATCACGTGCTCTTCTTTCAGTGTGCACTTGAGTTGGTACATGGAAGTTGCAAGGATTCATGGTACATCCTATAAACTACTGACCCACTTTTGAGTTCAAACTTTCTGGTAAGTTTTTAGTATTTTTCGTTTCCTCACGCATTATCTGGTCTATGAACTTGTTTCATAAATGCAAAGTGTGGTTTTTGCTGTCTCTATCCTCACCATGATCAAAGTGCCTACACACTGTAATGAAGCAGAATAACTCAGATTGACAATAAGCAGAGCCTTTCTTTAAACATTGAATGCCTCTGGTTCTGCATGACTATTATCAGTCTTGCTAGGTAAGGTTGCATGATATTTTGTCTATTCAATAGTCACCTACCGGTTTTGAAGGGAGGAAAACTTCAGTGCCTGTTAATTGTGTCATTTGATGATTTGTTATCCGAGGTAACATCTACTTCATTATTTTAGTCTTTAGTATAATTTGCCTAAACCAAATTGCTTTGTTTCTATTTATGATAATGCAGAGTTTCTTGACAGATTTTTTTCCCTTTTTTTTTTTTTTTTTTTTAAGTAACTGAGATATCCAGGCACAATTGCTAGCTGAGCCCGTTTAATCCTCAGGACCACGAAACACACTACAAGTTTAATGGACCATAATTTTAGTTTACAACATTATATGTGTTTTGGTATGATCTCATAATTTTTTCAATATCTGACTTCCCATTTCTTTGTACTTGTTTAGCGAATACAAAGTGCGATAAAGTATGGTGGTTTAGTAACCTTACCTTCAAACATGATTGATGCATGAATAGTTGGCTTTGCTGTCCCAGCATGTCCTTACAGCAAATCATATTTGAACAACTCCACTTCCTTAGTCATATCAAATCTCTTTGCCGCATCTATTGTGCACATTTTAAATTTTGTTTGAGTTCTCTCTCTCTGACAGACTATGCTACCAGGCCAAGTTCTATATGCACTGGGTTTGGAGATTGCTCAAGGTATTGAATTCATTGTGTTGATTGCTATCCGACTAACCGGTAGTTTTGGTTGCCATCTTAGTTTTAGGTTTTCTTCCTCATTATATTCCATCTGAAGTTGATTGTTGGTATGCTCCTGGGTTTTTGAACGTGATTGAGATAGACCATTGCATCAAGAGACCTTATTATCTTTTGTATAGTACATTATGATATATTTCTGTTGCTCATTAGTTCTTGGAGTCCCATAAATTCATTTTACTGTTATGTTTCATTTCCAATATAATTAAGATCTCTTGGCTTCTGTTCATTTCTGGTGGTATTTCAATTTCTTATTCCTCACTTTCAACCCACTGTTCTGTGATTGTCTTTTCTACTCATTTTGTTTGACGAAGAGAAAAGTATCTTTTATATTTTGTCATTGTTTCACTAAGATCTGTGTAGTGTGCTCTTTTATATTTGATAATTGCTGTTGGGCTCATTGGAAACCTGGGAATTGGCTCTCCCTCTCCGTAATTAAAGCCACGTTTTTGCTTCTGCACTTGTTCTTCATTGAGCTGGAGAAGCGAGCTCACATCTGAATTGTATAGTTTAGATAGTTACTTTTTGGGTTTTTCTTTAAAGTCTTTTGTTTGATCTAAGGTCTCCTCCAGTAATCATGTTATGCATCTTAGTTCCTGAAAAAGAAAAAATAAAAAAACAGCTTAATTCACATTACAAGTTAATGTTTTAATAACCAACCTGAGATGAACCTCAACAAAGTTGTCGGGTCTTGGGTTAACCGATTTAACAGGTTTGACCCGTCGGTCAAACCGGGTGTCTAAAAGTTTAAAATTCAGCAAATACACTCCTATAAATTGTTAAGTCTCTACAGGTTTGAAATTTAGCAAACACACTTAAAGTGTAAATCGACAGTTGACTCGTTGGTAATGACGACACACCAAATGCAATTAATCATCCCTTGAGCCATTCCCCATAAAATCTAACAAAGATCACCGATTTCGGCTAAATCTTAACCCAAGCCATATCTCACCACCGTCGATGTCAACAATCCTCCCAAACACCACGAAAGTACTCCCCTCATCCTCCTAACCAAAACCTATCTCACCTCACCTTGTTCGCCTCGCTAATCGTTGACAAAAGTTGATTGTTGTTGCCACAATTTTTTTTTATTTCCGATCAATTCACTCACCCAAAATCACCTCTATCGCCACCATTGCAATCACGACCCTTCCTCTTTAAAACCCCTAACATCACAGCCTTCAATTATTTGTCGATCATCATCTCAATTTCTACGGTTTTCGATAAATAAAAAAATTAGTAACCTAACCCGATAAAGGCCTTAGGTCCTAATTGACCAACCAAGTCAAGCCAGGTTTTAAAACATTGTTACAAGTCATTAAGAGGACTTATTTTCCTTTAATTCAAACTTTTTCAATTTAATTCACCCGGGTAAGATCTTCATTATTTGCTTTTAATTTATAAAAAACTTCTAACTGAAGGCACTACCATAATCAATATAAATATTTATGGCTTCAAAATGTTATATTTCTCAAAAAGAAGTAAGATTTCGAATTAAAACTACAAACATTTGTGTACGAAAAGGTTTTATATGAAAATTACATGGTCTAAAGAGAACCGCCGCTAATTTTATATATACTTGTAATACATCCGAAGACAACATTTGATGAGCACTCTTTTTATGAAACACTTCCTGAAATGCTTTTACCCGTAAAAAGTACTTTTTTAAGTCTAAAGCACTTCTAATAAAGACACTTCCCAACACATTGTGTCCTTTAAACCACATTACATACCCGAAATTGCTAGAATTCAAGTGTTAGATATTCATAAGATTCAGTAAAAGTTCACCACANATCATATTAAATTAATAAATATGTTATTGATTGAAAGTTTGAGACATGTGAGGTATTAATTTAAAAGTAAACTCTTTTTATTTCCTCTTTTGTAGGTTGGTGGTGCCAAAATTAACCAATGGAAAAGATAAGTGAAAATTACTCCCTCATTTTTTATATAAGAGTCGTTTTAAGTTTGGGCACGATTTTTAATAAAAAAAATTTGTCCCTCCCACCCAACTTTTTCCCTTGATTTTGCAGGTGGGAAACTTTCCCGCTGCATATTTAAATAATTTGCATTTGTCTTATTTACGCCTTCGAACCCCTCGACTCCACACAGCAACTCGGCGAAACGTGGCTCCTTAAAGTCGAAGAATTGACCTCCGGTAAAGTATGAGTCGGGGATCCTGTCTTTAAACTTTGTTCTGAAAAAGAGAGAGAAGATAGAAGTAGAGACGCAGAGTAGAGAAAGAAGAAGTGGGCGATGGAAAATATGGAAGCGAGGAGAAGAGGGGAAGAGATAAGATAAGATAAAGAGAGACCGAGGAGATGTGGGCCATGACGAAAAGTGGAGAAAGGACAAGACAAGGAGCGACTTTTAATTTGAAAAAATAAAACATCCTTAAAATAACTTTTATATAAAAACAGAGGGAGTAATAATTATCTTTTATAATTTTGTCATAAATTGGAATAGTAACTTTTCTTATATATGTTCAATTCACAACCCATAGTAAAACGATAACAATTAAAAGTGTAATCGTAAATACTTATAAGTGTATTATTTTTGTATCGGATGATGTTATTATATAAATTGAAGTGATATAACTCTTTTATTGTCGCATTAGTCATCTATTGAATTGGTTTTTTATATGCATTATTCATTCATTTTGTCCCCATTAATTTCCATGAAAAAGCTTGTACATCTAGTATTATTCCTAGATTATTCCTTAGTACTAAGGTATCTACATAGCTCTACCATAACCTATAGCTAAAGTGGGAATTAATGAATAACATCAAGAGAAATTGGAGAAGATTAATAGATTTATTTCCATCTCAAACAAAAATGAAAGTGCTTTCTTCTTGTGTACTTCAACACAGATTCTTTTCTTTACTTGATTATCNTTTAGTGTGGCTTTTCTTCCTTCTTTAAAGTTCCATATCTCCGGAATGGCATATCTCCCACTTGGATTATACTCATTCAATTCTTTCAGAGCTGTTACAACTGCTTCGTATATCTCATCCCCCAAGTCTTTAAGTTTTTGTAGCTTCTTGTCGTCTTCATTTATAATTTCATGCACCATGCATGACCGTTACATCTACTCACACTGAAAAAAATTATAGTCCATGTGCAGCAGATATAAGTATTGTTTGCATTTGGAAATCAACACCTAGAAAAGGATAAGATGACCAAAACTAGGTGAACTATTTCCAACCACAGCACAAAAGTTTAAGAAAATGAACTTTTAATTTCCACCATCCATCATCAGAGACAAGAAATTTCAGCCTGTGATATAAATTATTTCAGGAAATTTTTTATACATTTGCAGGCTAACTATGTTTCATGTATATGAATGCCACCAATAAAAACAAAGTTTACAGCATAACAACAATATAAGGCAAGAACGAGATCAAACATGCTACCTCGGGCTTGGCATTCCCACCAACTTCTATTATCTTGAAAGGGTGCCACTCTGGGTTCTTCAAATTCTTCTGCCACAAGGAGCAAAGAGTGGAGGCCTGCACCTGTGCTTCCTCCGGTGAAAACTTCTGCTTGCATGCATTTTGAAATGGCTTTGGATCAATCTCCCCCATTTTCTTTATTCCAATAGTCGTACGACCACCCAAAATATCTACAAAAACCTATCAAAACAGAAATATCTTCATCCTTATGATTCTCTAGGAAACAATTAATTTAACAAATCTAATCAACACTGTGCATCTATGCAATTAATGCCTTTCATGCAACTTTCCACGCCAACAGATTTAGCAAAAATAGATACTAGTGACCTCTCATTAGTTACTTTTCTGAAAAGATGACCCAAAAAACCCTCTACTTTTTCTTTTATTTTCAATATACTTTATCCCTTATCCACTATCATCAAGAATATGATTGCCCTAATCATTGATATTTTGGACCTCAGATTTGCCTCTGGGACATCTTGACGGCTTTTCTTTGGCCACCATGCTTGCCATGAACCCACATATTTAATGAATTAGATAGGAAGATTCCCCTTGATTAGGCTTAAGCCATTTGATCAACAAGATATCATCTAAGTAATGTAATTAGGGATACCTGAATTAACTCTGTTACATGCTTCTTGTAGTTCATCGTTGCTCTGACGCTCTTTGGTGATAAGAGTTTGACTTAATTCCTCCAAAGAACCCAATTTCTCCTCTTTCTCTGCCAACTCATCTTTCATCTTCTTCTGTATTCCACATGATGTATTATTATGCAAAAATAAAATGCTACAGTTTTTTACTAAGAATACTTCTCTGGCCCAAAAATGTTACCTTATTTCTCTCTTCTTCAAGGTTGTTCAAATTTATGCTCCATTCATCCTTTTTCTTCTTCCAAGCCTCCAAATCACAACTGAGTTTCTCTTGGTCTTCCAAGATCCTGAGAACACTATCACGAGAAAGCCGCTGCATCTTTCTTGTCTCTATTGGACAAAAAGAACATTTTAACACTATTAACTTCTTAAATCAAATATTAAGTATAATAATGTTGAACCACATATTAAGAAGGAACACCATTTGGTAATTCAATTATCATTAGAGGCCTACATAAAGAGACGAGAGCAAACCTTCAACAAAAGCATCGTGTAGTTTGTCTTTCTCATCAAGCATGCTGCCCAAAGACATGGTCTTCTCATCAAGCATGCTGCCCAAAGACATGGTCTTCTCATTGTACTTGTATTCCAGTTCATTGAGATTTTCATTCGTCATAGCTATCTTACTGGCAAGGTCAGCAAAAACGTCTTGATTTTTTTTCCGGCACAATGTCCGTGAATGTTCTTAACTTCCCTTCCTTGCGAATGAAGACCATTGCGCTACTAACTGTAAATGCATTACAAAATTCAGCTACACTGAAACTACCCTAATCAAATTAACAATAAAATTAAACTAGAATTTTCAAAAATTCTAATATAATCAGTTGAGAATTACATGAAATGAAATATGTGCGAAAAGAGTGAGAGGGAGAGTCCTTCACGATCGTGCAATATAATTATCAGCAATGGTCATAACAATTTCAGTCTCTTCAACCACTAATTGCACTAACCTAACAATAACCAGAAGTACACAAATCACGCATTACTTAAAAGAGATGAAACCTAACAATAACAATAAAGGCAGCTAACACAGTCACTGGGTTGTTTGAGAGAAACAGAATATGGAGGTCTACCTGAGAGCCCAGACGAACGGCACTTTGAAGAGGATCCTGGGAGCGTGAGAGAGATGGCTGCGTGAAGAAGAAATGGCGACTGGAGAGATGGCTGCGTGAAGGAGAAATGGCCAAATGAGCCTGAGAGAGATGGCTGCGTGAGAGTCTGAGAGATTGAGAGAAGAGATGGAGAGAAATGGCTTCGGTCTGTGACTTTGAGAAGATGGCGCAAATGGAATTGGGTTTGGGTGTCTAGTTAATTGAATTTAGGGTATTAAATTTTTAATTACATATATTTTTTAATCTATAAACATATATTTTTATGTTGTTTACTTGTATTATATTTTTAAGATTATTTGTAAGGATTTTTTTTAACTTTAATTTTTTTTTTGAATTTTTAATTTAATTATCTAAATTTTAATTTAGGAATACTGATGGCCAAGGAAATGAAATCTTAACAATTTTAAAATATATCTAAAAAAAAAAAAAAATAGAATGAAGAACATTTAAGGGTGCGTTTGGCTCCCTGTTTTTATCCATATTTCCAATCTTATTCTCCAAATAATGTTTGGCACACTATTCCAGAAATATTACCCTATTTTTTTAATTACTTTTAGACCCTATAAGGTTATTAATTTCACTAAATGCCCCCTAAATTTTTTTTAAAAATTAACAAAAACCCCCCCATCAACCCAATTTGTCAGATTCCGGCAACCACCGCCGATGATAGCCGAAATCTGTACAACGGCCTAAATTCCGACCATAAATGGTAGAAATTACACCGATCTGGCCTTTTTCGGCAAGATCCACCACGGATCTGGCCGAAAAAGGCCAGATCTGGCCGTCGTTGACGGTCAACGACGTCCAAATCTTGGCCGTCGTTGACCGAAAACGACGGCCACATGATGGCCGTCGTTTTGGCCTTTCCAGCCGTCGACGGCCATAACAGGCCCTTAGATCTGGCATTTTCCGGCCAGATCCGTGGTGGATCTGGCCGAAAAAGGCCATAATGATGCGTTACGGCACATATCCGATCGGTCTGTGCCGTAACGCATCATTCCGGCCAGATTCCGGCGGTGGCGGCCGGAATCTGACACTGCAGGTGATAGGGATGTTTTTGTCATTTTATATAGTAGGGTCTTTAATTAAATTAGTAAACCTATGACTTTTTCATAAATTTTTCAAATTTACCTCGTAATACTCTCCTATCCAACAATTCAATATTATCCTCAAAATCCTATCCAAAATACTACACCAAACGCACCCTAAATTTATAGTATTCTATTAACATGTTGTAAAGAGAGCAAATTTTAAAGGGATTCAAATCTTCTCCTCAACGTCACATTACATACTAACTACTACAAGGTTTATTAATAATATTATGAGATACTCTTAACTAAGGGTGTAGTCGAATCGAGTAGCTTGTGAGCTACTTGGGCGTGACTGGTGATGAACTCGGACTTGACTTGCGAAAAGACGAGCAGTTTGCAAGTTTGAGCTCTTCTTCAAGCTTGTGAAAGTTGTCAAGCTTTTTTGGGCTCGATTTGACCTGCTCGTGGGCTTGATGGTGCTTGCGTCGTCATTCGAGTGGCAGTAGCTCGTGAGCTCGATTGCGAATTTTAGCTCATGTAAATCGCAATTACCCTAAAACAAAGACAAACAATACCAAAATCCCTACCCTTTAAACTTATTTCACCTCCGCCATTATCGTCTTCACTTCTTCAGACCGCAAATCTTAGACGCCAGTCATGCCACCGTTGTTCAGCTACCGCTGTCCACCCTTCAATTTGAGACCTTCATTGAGCTTGGGTTCTTCACACCGCAAAGTTTGAGACGCCACTATTGTCCAGCCTTCATTTGCCCTTCAATTGAAGTTGTTGCAAGGTAGAATCTGACGATGAAGCTGCTGAAAACTCAGATTCTCAGGTGAGCTTCCATTTTTTATTACTCTATTTGCGGTATTGTAAATTGATATGCCATAGGCTAGTTTTTTCAATTACAATATGAGATTAGTAAACTCACATGTTGTCTAGGGTGGTAATCATATTTCTACCCAACAAAGAATTTGATGGTGTCTCGACTCTTGACCATGTCCTTGTGTTGACTCTTATTGCTGAAAAAGCTAGATCTGTGTGAGACATTGTAAATTGATTTGTGTGAGGAAGCCTAATGTGCTAAATAATAGTTTTTTTTTTTAATGATCAAAGGAATTCCAAAATGATAGGTACAAGATATGTGATTATCATCTGAATGCGCTTCTTAGACCTAGTCAGTATATATTTATTCTGAATTTGTCTTCTTAGTGACAAGATGTTTGCTAATTACTCTGTTTGCTATGTGATTGATATGTGATTATTAATCTGATGATGTCTTGACGCTCTCGACCATGTCAGATTGTTTTTGCTAATATAAATTTCTTAATTACTTTGTTTGCTAATATTTTAAACCTCTGTTCATGATGCTTATCTCAAATTGTTTTTGTAGAGGGATTTGATAATTCTAATGGGGTCGTCATCCACCCCCAATTGAGCATAGCCTTCCACTTCACGAATGCAACCAATATATGGTATATTTGAAACCTGGACTAATGATGAGGCCACACCCACAGCCACACCCACAACGACACCTACTTCTCATAATGTTACTGATGTTGATGCTTCTACCCCTTGTACCGGCGAGGAGCAAGTTAATCATTTTCAGAGGAAAAAGAGACCAAAGACATCAGTGGTGTGGAATGAATTTAAAGAGGTAGTTCTACCAGATGATTCTACAAAGGGAGAGTGTGTTCATTATAAGGCAAAGCTGGCAATAATGGAGACCAAGAGCATAACTCAGTTTGCAAGACATCTGAAATCATGTTTGAAGCGAATAGCTACTCAAAGGCAAACATAGTTGTTTTTCCGGCCAACCAGTTCTCGATAAAAGCTCGTTTAGAGCTCGACTCGATAAGGCTTGGTTTGACTCGACTCAAACTCGATTCGTTAACCGAGTCAAGTTCGAACACAATGAAGCTCGACTCGTTGGCTCGCAAGCCTGGTCCGGCTCGATTAAGCACTATACACTTCACAGGGTGTTTTGGTGATTTTTTAAACTATTATGTATTAAACTGATATTTTCCAGTGAAAAAAGTTTTAAAAAATGACAGTTTCCCTTCCCCCCCAAAGTGCAAATTTGAAATAACACGATACACCAAAACAAAGTGTTAATTTTAGTTCCTCATCCTAGTTGTCCTAAATCCCAAATCGCAATCAAAGACCCCCAAATCCCAAATCGCGAACCAAACACTCTGAAATCGGTAATCTCCTAGGAATGTTATTTGTATATATTCAGAACTGTTTTTTGATTGTAAGGTAATAGACATTTTGTAATGTTCGAAACTATCATGGTTAATTCAACATTGGATGTAAATATGAAATGTTGTACGCAGGCAAATTGTTGTAAAAAAGGGGAACTTGGCTTGATCAAACCCGGATAAATGGTTGTTTGATCGAGCCTTATCGAGCTTGAGCTTGAGAGCCGGCTTGAGCCTTATCAAGCTCGACCGACCTCGAGCTCGGGTCTCAATTTCGAGGCTCACCAGGCTCGAGCTCGAGCTCGACACTGTTGTAAACGAGCTGAGCTCGATAAGCCAAAAGCTCGGCTCGGCTCAGCTCGTTTACACCCCTAGTTCAATGGATGAAGTCTCAATGCAATATGCACTTGCATTTTCAGATGCCAAGCTTGATATGGCCAAGATGCGGGAACTAGCTGCTAATGGGTGTTCATGCATGAGCATCCATTTACAATTGTGGAGGAGGAGAGTTTTAACATGATGCAAAAATGTGGTATGCCACTATGGGAGAAGATCACGCGGACTGCTTTGAAACAACATTGTGTGACTATGTATGAGATACAAAAGAAGAAGTTGTTTAATTTGCTTAAGAGTATCAACAAGATTAGTTTGACAACTGATCTATGAAATTCTTCTAATCAGAAGCTTGAGTACATGGTTCTCACCGAACATTTTATAGATAATGATTAGAAGTTGTAGAAGTGTATGCTCAATTTTGTTTGTATACTTCTTCCTCGACCTGGTGTTGAGATTGCTACTACTATTCATAAGTGTCTAATAGAATGGAGGATTGAGAACAAGGTGTTTAGTATCTCGGTTGACAGGGCTTCAAGTAATGATGCGACAATCAAGATTTTGAGAGAAAATTTAGGAAGAAACAAGAAGCTAATGTGTGGTGGGAAGTTGTTTCACGTGCGGTGCACAACACACATTGAATCTTATGGTTCAGGATGGGCTTTCCCAAATTAAGCCATCATTCAAGATATACATGACTGTATTTTATATGTCAAGCAATCAGAGACAAGAGTGATTATGTTTAAAGAGATTGTTCAGATGTTGCAATTGCCATAACGAAAACTCATACTTGATAGCAAAATGAGGTGAAATTCTACTTATGAGATGTTGGCACTTACAATTCAGTACAGAAACGTGTTTCCAATGTTAGTTCAATTAGACAATATCTTTACTTGTGCCCTAATAGATGAAGATTGGGAAATACTTGAGCAAGTGTGTGAGATTTTGGAAGCCTTCAACTCTGCAACTAATGTCATCTCGGGGAGTGAGTACCCCACTTCTAACTTATTTTTGCAAGAAATTTGTGAATAAAAGAGTTGCTAGATGTGTTTTGATGATGACAATTTCATTCGATCAACGGTGGGAAAGATGAAAGGAAAGTTTGACAAGTATTAGGGGGAATGCAATTTCTTAATGGCAATTACAGCTATATTGGATCCGGGATGAAAATGAGGTTGCTACAATTTGCCTACCCACAATTGTTTCCTAATGAAGAAGCACAAGACAAAATTGATGAAGTGCGAGCTGCCTTGTATGAGATTTATGAGGAATATGTGGCGAAAAGTCAATCTTCCACTAGTGAACCACCTGTACAACGCCCTAAACGTACTAGTTCACGATTCTGTAAGTTTGTTAGGACAACTCAAATGGTACAACATGAGAAATATGAGTTAGATCATTATCTGGAAGAGAGGTGTTTGTTATGGGACGAGGATGATACCTCATTTGATGCGTTAGATTGGAGGACGCTTAATCAAATGAACTATCATATTTTATCTATGATGGCTCGTGAAATACTTGTCATTCCAATCACCACAGTCGCTTCGGAGGCAACTTTCAGTGTTGGGAGTCAAGTTATTGACACTTATTGATCATCGTTGTCTCCCGATACCGCGCAAGTGCTACTCTATGGTGGTGATTGGTGATGCAATTGCTATGGAGTCAAGAAAAGTTACAAAGTAAATTTCATACTTCCATAGTCCAATTTATTAAAATTATGGTATTATTTGGTCATTTATTAACATTATTCAAACTAAAACAATTGGTTTTCCTCTTTGTTGTTTAGAAAGAGAAGACAAATGAGCAGTTTTAGCTTCCAATCCTATGAAGTTTTGGTGGAATCTTGACATGTTAGTGATAGTAAATGTTATACTTCTCAAATTATTTGGTTTTTGTCTCATTTATTTACATATTTGGCTGCCCCTGTCTTGTTTAAATTGTTTTCATTTGGCTACTGTCTCATTATCATATTTTAAGTTCTAGTTAATGTTGGCTGCATGCAATTGTTAGAGTTTGGTGAGTGAAGAGATGGGTTGAAAAGAAAAATGAAAGAAAACTGATGCAGGAGAGATCATTTTGATTAGTTTTGCTGCAATTAGTTATTATTCTTTTTATTGTGAATATCAACTCTTAGGAACCTTCTTAGATGATTGGATGAAAAGTGGTTGTACTTTATTTTTTACACCAAATTTGTTTGAGAATGTTTTTTGTGAAAATAAGTTTGTTGCTTAAAGTGATGTTAATTTAAAGGAATCTCAACCAGCATTAAAGTTTCAATATAGGTCCATTCCATCTTCCCATCACTTGGTTTGTTGCTGCCAAACTGGGGAAAGTCAAAAGTTGTATTCACTTTGGATGAACTTTTATTATGACATAAAAACATCTTGATAAATCACATTCTTTGATGTAATTTTTTTTTTTTTTTTTTTTGCTATTTGGTAGCCAAATGGAACTGCAATATCTTTGGTTGCTGGTTTTGTTGTTGATGCAAGAGAAGAGAAGTTGCTAGTCTTGTTGTTGATATGATTCGGCAGAAGAAAATATGATGCTTTTTGTTTTCCATGGACTGAATTCCATATGCTTAATGTTTGCTTTTTTTTTTTGTGTTTTGCTTTGAATTTTGTTTTTGGATTAAGGATTGTTAAATTTATAGTTTGTGTTTTACTTTGGATGAATGTTTGTTGAATTTAGAGCTTTTTTTTTACTTTGAATAATGATTTTTGGATGAAGGTTTCATTTTCCCATGTTTGAATTCTGAGATTAAGGTGAAGTTAAATTTTTTTTGCTTTGAATCATGCAATTTTGGTGAATTCAATATAAACTGGACAGAAGGCAGAAGGCATATTGCACGTTGTAATTTTTTTTTTTTAATATTGACTCGAATTTGGCTCGGCTCGGCTCATCTAATAAACATCCGAACTAAGCCGAGCCATCCATTTTCTTAAACAAGTCAAGCTCGAGCCTCCTTCCAACACATCCAAGCCGAGCTCGAGCTAGCCACTATTCGGCTCGGCTCGGCTTGTATGCACCCCTACTCTTAACCATAGAAACTTGATTCCATCATCTCACAATATATTAATAAAAATAATTTAAAAATAAAAGTTTCACGAATTATAATTTAATCATCATTTACCAATCCAATTGGAGAAAAAAAAAATATATATATATACATATATATATATATATATATACATACCAAACATCAGACATATAATATCAAATATGATAAGGAGTTAAAAAAAAAAAAAAAAAGATTAAATAACAAAAATCTCGATGAAATTTATGAAATAATAAAACGAATCTTTATATGAACACCAATACGAACTCTCATTGGGAACTACAAAATCGTCTTCTTCTTCACCTCTTTACTCATCCTTTAAAAGAGACTACGTTGATTCAGTCTATCAGAGCGTTATCCCCTTTATTCATTGGTTTATGGAACATAACCCTTTCTTTCTTTAAGCCCTAATTAGGGTTAAAAACCAGGTCTTTTGTGGCCATGCTTAGCTGCTTTCTGAATTGGTAACATCTTATTGTTTCCGCGAATACTTGGTAATTCTTCATTCTTCTTCAACACCACCTTGGCAGCTTCCACCTTTCCAGATGCAGCACCAACAACAAAAGCAATATCCCCATCAAAATTTTCTGATAAACATAGAGAAAGTAACCTGCCGTAGCTGCAATATGGAGAGCGGTGTCGTCCTTGTCTGATATCTTAGCCATTTAATAACTTCAAATTTTCTCTAAATCTGTACCTCTGAAATATTCCGTTAAGGAAGCTTTCCCACAGTTTCCAAAAACCAGTGAGAAGGCAGAGGAGAAGAAGCCAGGAGGTGGAGAATGCTCTGTACCAAAAGAGGTAACCCCTTCAATCCGTTTCTTTCTTTCTTTGTTCTCCTTTTGGCGTGGAGTTTTTATTGAATATAGCGGCTAAGATCGATATCTATTTATTAAGATTACTCTGTAAAATAAATGGCTAGTTAAATATTTTGATTGAATGAAGACTTGAAAAGGTTGTATGAAGCTGCACTGAACAATGGTTAGTTCATCGTTTATTGGGATATTTTGGAGGTAGATTCACTTAAATTTTATGAATGTATTTAACAGTTAGGATATCAGACAACAACGACGCCGCTCACCACATCGCAGCTGCGGCAAGTTCCTCTATGTTTGTCAGGAACTGGTAAAATATATGGCGAGAGAACAATTGGCTAGTAAAAATTTTGATGGGGATACTTCTTTTGTTCTTGCTGCTGCATCCCCAAGGGTGGAAGCAGTCATGGCAAGGTTGAAGAAGAATGATGAGTTACATAGTATTCGAGGAAATGATAAAGGGATGCTACCAATTCACATTGCAGCTCAGCGTGGCCACAAAGACATGGTATAGTATCAGTTTACCTACACAGTATCAGAGATTTCAGATATTCATATTGTACTTTGAAGTCATATAAATGTGAAGAATTCATAATAAAAGTTAAATTTCATTCTCTTAGTATCAGTTTAACGTAGTAAGTTCAGTCTCAATAGAACCATGAGATCACTAATGGGCGTGGCTAAAGATAAAGAACATTGAACATTGTTCAGCCCTGGCATTGCATGAATTTTTTACAACCATTAAGGAAACTCTGAAAATGTTATTGTTTAAACTGTTACTCAAATAAAATCCACTAGAAAATGAGCAATCAAGCCCTGAAGACTAAAACAAGTGCGAGTATTTTTAGAACAAAAATGAATTACCTGATGTAAGAAATGAAAGTCTCCTGGAAATATTACAGTCGTCTTATTGAGTATTTAGCAGTTGTGATAGTGAATAGATTTAGAAAAGATCCTCGACTTGCTCACGGGAAACTTTGATAGAGACTTAATGTGCCAGGACTACAAAGGTGCCTCATTGGGTGATCAATCAACCATGTCTAAAGTCGAAACAATCAAACTGGAAAAAGATTTGGCGCTGGCATTTTATTCTTGGCTTACTTCTTGAGTTCAATCATGGAATCAACTGAATATTCTTTAATTTCAGTACCATCTACTTCCTCATCATAAGAGTTACTTCCACTTCCACCAGCTGCTGTTTGTACAAAATGGTTAAGTAGGATGGTAAAGTCTTCCAACTGAGGGCCATTGAGGCCTTGGAACACTGATTGAACGAACCCTACATCTTTTAAGTATACGAGGCGAACCCCACACTTTTTAAACTCAAGACCTGAACCCTCAAGTCTAAAGTAAGCCTCAACGTGACTCCATTTCCTCTTTTGGAAGTATTCGTCGAATGGTATAAAGAAAAGCCAGAGATGATTTGACAAAGCCAATCGTTCTCCATTCAAGAGAGACTCTTTGCCCAAAATTAAGCACTTGTTCTCGGCAGAAAACAAATAAAACTTACACTTGTAATCGCATCCTGAAGGACTTGAAATATACTGCAAAACTGGTGGAAGCCATTGGACATCTTTTCTTTGTTCCTGTCCATGATTCTCTTGGACTTCTAAAGTAGCACAGATAGCCAATCCTAAGAATGTATAATCATTGTACCAATTTGGAGGTAAGTGAATGGCTAATGAAGTGCTTGTAGTCTGAAATCTGAACCAATCTGGAATTCCATTTGCAGGTAGAAAAACAACTAGTCTCGGCATGACAGAAGGGATATCAGAAAGTTCCTGTATCATTAAAATCATGGTGTTAAAAATGAGAAAAAGGGATTGATAGAAAGAAAGAGGGATGAAAAATACCTGATGTAGGATACTCAACATTGAGCGGATCGAACTGACTATAATTGCAGTGTGTGGATTGTTGCTTTCTTGGTTCTCAAAGAAGTTGAGCAACATTGATGCGACCCTTAAAATCCTGATATTTGCTATCAAGAAAAGATGATGTTTTAGCAATGAAACTGCCACATTGTCGCCACCTTGGTTCTCAAGCAATCTGAAACAATTTTGAAGAGAGAATTCCCGAAAATTTGACATACTTAATCTCAAGGGCCCACCCAAGTTTTCCAATGATGGGCAGTTATATGTGCTTAGATTTTCTATGCTTGACGGAAGTTCCGTCAGAGCTTGAAGGTTCTGGCAATCTGTCAATTTCAGAGTTTGCAGCTTATAAAGTTGATTGATGCCTATACGTAAGCTAACAAAATCGTTCCCGCTTAGATTTAATTTTCTCAATCCACATAAGTGGCCAAGATCACTTGGGATGGTTTCTTCAGAGAGATTACAGTAACTTAAATCAAGTTCGGTCAAAGACAATAAACCTACCAGGGAAGGTAATGAAAAACTCATGGAACTTGGGCCTACTGCTGGCAATAGGCACCCGAACCAGTTCCAATGTGTGCGCATTTGTCCCTTGCATCCCTTAAATGAGAGCCTTCTAAGGTTCTTTAAATTTACAAGGGATGAAGGAGCCTCTGTTATGGAAGTTTTACCAGCATCAAGCTCCTCCAAACATTCAAAATCCCCTAAGTTCTCAGGCAATTTGTCAATTTTTGAGCAACCAAGGAGCAAAAGAACTTTAAGAGATCTCCATCCAGCGATTACTCTTGGAAGACTCTGCAGGTTTCTGCAGTCTTTGAGATTTAATACACGAAGCCTTTTGAGGTCACCGATAGAAGGATGAAGCTCATATAAACTTGTGCAATCTTCAAGAATAAGCCTCTCAAGATTTGGAACTCCTCTGAAATCTGGAGTTCTGGTCAGCTTTTTTGAATGACTGAGTTTGACGATTTTCAATTTATCTAAATTCTGTCAGAGACATAAAACACAGAGGATTAGAACATCATCTTTGAAACTTAAAACATATTCAATGGAATAAAGGTCTGAAGGAAATGATCATACCACTATATCCTTCCAAATTAGTTCAATGCTACTGTGTGACATATCAAGTTCAACAAGTTTCTCTGCTTTGAAACTTGATGTCAATGATTTTAGAGGGTATCCATGCCATTTAAGTATCCGTAAATCATTGGGAAGAAATTCAAGCCCTTTAGGAAGAAGAACATCGCTGATTTTAAGCAGTCTCAGATTATTCATCCCTACAAATGCATCAGCATCCACAGATATCTCCTTTGATTCCGATGAATCTCGGTATATGACCTCAACTTCTTCAGTTCCCTATAAATTCACCAGGAACAAGGAAAAGAGAAGTAAAGCACAAGTTGAATTCTTGAATGATACAAGCATTACATATAACCAATAAAATTTTATGGTCACTTACCTTTTTCCTTTCAAGTACGACGGATATCATTGTAAAGCATAACCTACTGCGTCTGCCAGGATCTTTGGGAGATTCTTGGTAAACAATGGCCTGAGCATTTCTTTTAGCAAACTGTGGACATATAACTTATCATTGTCATTGTCAATTGATATGAGATATTTATCAGCCAGAACTCGAAGTCCAATTTCTGGGTAAAAATCACAAGCATCTAGTATTTCAGTCACTCGGGTTACTTTCCTCAAAGAAAGAAACATGCAATATCTAGGAAAATGTTCTCTCTGTTTCCTCCAGGCCATTAAACTTATTTTGAGTACATCAAAAATTTCCTGTCAGGAATTTTTTAAGTTTTTTGAGTGCGCTTCTCCACTCATTTACACTTCTACCAAGAGATAAGAACCCAAAACTACAAGAGCTAATGGAAGACCGTTAGCATAGCTTACAATGCTCCTAGATAGCTCTATATACTCTTCAGCGGAGGTTTTGCTTAAAGGCTTTCAAACTAAAAAGTTGAAGAGCTTCCTTGGAAACTAGACTCTTGGCCCTGTATATTAATCCACACAATGTGCAATCAGCAGATGTTCATCTCTAGTGGTTATAATGATTCTACTTCCAGGACCAAACCATTCACGGTCACCTGCTAATGTTTCTAATTGTTCTATTCATTTACATCATCAAGAACATAAGAACTCTTTTTCTGCAGCCTGTGATAGATTCCTCGATGAATGTCCAATAGGTATATTCTTTCCCTAGAGTTTGTGAAAGAGTTGCTCTTGTAAAGCGATGAACCAAATTTTTCAGAAATCTCTCTGTATTTGCGACAAAGCTGCTACCTTCAAATTTATAGGAAAGCAGTCATAGATGACCCTAGCAATAGTTGTTTTACCAATGCCACCCATCCCACAAATCCCTACATATGAACATCATCCAACCCCATACCTAAACAACAATTCATTCTTGCAAACGTGAATCTATTCCAACCAAGCCCTTAGCAACATATGAGAATGAGTGCCTCAACTTAGTCCTTATATCTTCAACAATCTCTGGATAATGTTGCTCATGCCTGCAAAGAATATAGAAGATGACCACCCTTTTATAATTTGTATTCATATTCTTCAGTAATTCTGAATTCATAAATTTAATAAATATGCATATTCTCCAATAATACAAATGCATACCTCATGCACATACAAATGTCTACTTATTATTCACAAGAGTGTGCTGATTTCCAAGATCTTGAATCTATGATTTTACTGTCTTGCAATTTTAGAGGAATGTCTTAAAGACATTGGTAACCGATAAATACAGATTTTTCATCATAATCAACAAATTTAAATCAAGATTTGTGCTAAACATGATGAACTGCCCTGGATTTACAACTAGAGGTTAATTTAGGGGAAATGAGTGAGAACTTGTTATGGGACAATTACATTGTTTTGTAACCACATGCTAAGCTATACGAACAAGAACATTGAAATCTATCATACAAAATCTGCTGTTGCTAAATTAATCAAATCACCCATATAATTCCTTAAAGAAATTAACAATCTGTAGAGCAAGAAGAAAAAAAATACCTGTCCTGCAAATGCCAACCAGATAAATTAGCCACATCAGTCAAAGCATCTCTCCATTTCTGCAACTTCTCAGCTCCAAAATTAGCTTCTTCATGCTTATGAAGGCCTCCCCAAAGCTGCCCCTCTGTTTACGAACATCACCCGGATCCACATCATAGAAAACCGGGACAACAGTTTGCCCCATCTCTTTCATGCACTCAACAATCTTCACAAGTTCGTCCAAGCACCAGGACGACGTCGCATAGTTTCTCGAAAAAACAACACGGAAATCTTGATTCTTCAATGGCTTTAACGAGCTCTGGCGAAATGGGTTTGCCTCTCTCAAGCTTGTCATCATCTCTAAAAACGATCATACCCTTTTCGTCCAAAGCTCTGCATAAATGATCAGTGAAGTTCTTTCGAGTGTCTTCTCCTCTGAAACTAACAAAAACATCGTATTTCCACCAGGGACGAGAAGAAGAAGAAGAAGAAGACGAAGAGGCTCCTTCATTGTTGTTCAAAGCCATTGTTGAAAGTTGAAAACTCTACTAATCTTGGGTTAGCTTGTTCCGAGTATTGTGCTTAGTTTCAGGGTTTGGCATATACTGCATTTGAATGATGTATATGAAAGGAACTTTCGTGGATGGAGGATTGTAGTAAACGGTGAGAGAGACAATATTGGGTGGTTAGAGTTGGACTTTTTTGAGTTATGGATATAGAATAATATGACGAATGTGAATGCAATAGAAAGTCAAAATCAACTCATTCCGAGTTGCGAGTAGTGTCGTTATTGCAGCGAAGCTCCTTGGATTTCAACTGAGCCATCAGTTTCTGTCCATATTCTCTTAGTCTTACGTTATGGGACGGTCTGCTGTATCATCTTCTTCCTTTTGAGTCAAAGTCAACTCTAAACCTTTGAAATATGGTGTGGTCTGGCCTACTCTTGTGGGCTAGTTTTGATCTGTTATGCAATTTGATCGTGCCTTCACATGCCAAGGGAAGTTAATCCCATCTATCATTATTATTTTAGTTCAAATTAATCAAGTTTTATTTTTACAAAGTTTTTATACAAAATTAAGTATAAAAAATAATGTAACACATCATTTAGTAAACTTATTATATATAAAATAGTATTATTCCTCTTGTTATAATTAAGGACATATATCAGACGTTTAATTGTTTACACATCACGGGGGTAATTAATATTCGTTTCTTGTTTGTGTCATGGATGACATGTCGCTTTCATAACAAATGTCATATGGCATGTCATTCCGGAAACTGATTAAAAAAAATATTTAGGATAAATATCACTTAAGGCCACTAAATTAGCATATACACTTATACATGGTGATTTTTGATGTTTTGAAAATCACAAAAGGTTTGTTGATATTTGACAAATGTATGAACATCGTGTTTAGTAAGGAAGATGTGTTGGTTTTAGGACAACAACATGTCATCCATTTGAGACGAGATGTCGTACCTTTTCTATGATGAATAGTAATTAGGGATGTAATCGAGCTGAGCCGAGTTTTTGGTTAATCGAGCTTGGCTCAATTACAAATGGTTCAAGATCGAGTTTGAGCCGAGTCTATCGAGCCTTCAATTTTGTGGCTGGACTCAAATTTGTTGGCCTAAAACGAGCTCGAGCTAGCTCGACTCAAGCTCGAGCTAGCTCGACTCAAGCTCGGTTACTATAGCACTGAGTTCAAAAAGATAGGATAAGGAAATCCAGTGAGCTACTAGGAACAAGCCATGTGAAAAGGTGATTTGAGGTAATAAGGTGAGGAGGGAAATTCACTTATGTAATAACTTATTAACCAGTCCAAAGCTTTAAAGGATGAAACAAAAACCAAGTTGGCCACTGAGAACAAAGGGAAATCTAAGAAGATAAGTGGAAGGGAATTCAACCAAGTTGCAAGACCCAAAGAATGACTCCCCCAGCCTGAAAGAACGCCAGCTGCCACTATTCCAGCGACCGAAGTTTCATGCTTCCAAAGAGAAACACCCAAACTGCTTAACATCTTATATATGAACATAAAGGCAGTCTTTGATCAATATGGCTTCTACAATTTCTGCGCAATCAAATTCTTTCCACTCACCACTATTCATTGACCCCAAATTTTTAACTTTTTCCATTTACAGCTCCGTATCTTGGGTCCTAATAGAGCTCGTTTCTTATTGTTTAGTTTCAAGAGTCAAACAACAACTTAAGAAACGTCTTAGTACCTTAGACAATACTTCTATTGCCTTAGACTCACGACCTTGGCCTAGGACTCATGACCTCGGCCACTGCCTCCTCGGATGGCTTAGGACTTGTTAGATTCTACAAAATGAGCCATGCGTTAGAGGCCAGCGGGGTGCCACTAACGTTAACCCTCTAATACTCAAGTTAGATTATAAAGGCATGTATATGATGCTTAAATACAGTGTTTTGAAACCCTAAAAATGGGGATGATGATTGACAAACAATTGAAGGTCGGGATGTTATGGCTTTTGAAGAGAAAGTGTCAAGTGAGTACAATGGTGGCGATAGAGTTGATTTCTGGTGAGTGAATCGATCGAAAATTGAAAACCATTGACTACGACAACAACCGATTTTTGTCGGTGATTGGTGAGGCAAACGAGGGTGAGGTGAGATGGGTTTGGTTATGCGGCTGAGAGGAGTATTTTCATGATGATAGGGAAGGTTGTTGATGCTGACAGTGGTGAGATCGATAAAGATGAGAGATCGATCACGTCAACACCCTCAATTGGCCGTGAAAACAACTTCTGATGACTTTTCGAGGCTGAAATTCAATACAAATAGGAGAAAGGATTGTGTTTCAAGTGCAATGAAAAATTTGGGCCTACTCATAGATGTAAAAATAGAGCATTGTAGATCCTCCTAGTTACTGACGATGAAGAAACAATAGCAGAGGAAACCAATACAAGAATAGAGGAAGAAGCCAGCATCGAAGGTAACCCTATCGCTCTTTCTATAAATTCCATTGTTGGATTAACCTTGGGTAACACTTTAAAACTCTGAGGCTGGAATGATGGAGAAGAGGTGATAGTACTAGTAGATAGAGAGATTTCCCACAATTTTATTTCTCATAGTCTTGTTAGCAAATTAAGACAAACGATGGATGCAACTAAGTCATTTGGGGTTATGGTGGGCAATGGTTTCACAATAAGAAGTACAAGAGTCTATCGAATTATGAAACTAGAGATACAAGGGCTTAATGTGTTACAGGATTTCTTTCCATTTGAATTGGAAGGGATCGATGTAGTTCTAGGAGAGGCGTGGCTAAGCTCTTTAGGTGATGTTTGTGCTAATTGGCGCTGTCTCACAATGAAGTTTGAGGTAAATGAATAGCAAGTGCAGTTATAAGGAGACCCATCTTTTGTTAAGATTGTGGTCTCTTTTGGGGGTGTTTGGTTGGTGGTAATGTGGGATTACTGGAGTTATGTCATTTTATATTACTTGATTACCACGTTTGATTGTCAAGTAATATAAGATTCTAGTAATCTTTAAATACCAATAGTAATAACTGTTGGTAATATTGGAGGTAATCTGATTACCTCCATTTTTTTAGGTATTCTAAGATTATCAGGGTAATCTTTTTTTTTTTTTGTTACAATTCTATCCCTTATTAATAAAATTTTAGGACAATAATGCCCTTATTTTAAAATTTATTTACATGAATATGGCTTTTACTATTTCACCCCAATTAATTAACTTTTTGAACAAAATTACCCTTGAATTCAAAACAAATTGCAGCCCACCCAAGCCACCACCCTCACCCACTTGCCGTCGACAACCACTGCCGCAGTTGCCATAGGAGCAGCACACGGAAGGCCGAAAATGGCTGCTGTGCGCCAATATGGCCATTTTCGACCAAATATCTGGCCATTGATTGCCAAATTAGATCTGGTCGTTGATAGCCGGATCTGTCATGATCTAGCCATTTTCAGCCAGATCTCTGGCCGGAAATGGTCATACGGCACACGGAGGCCATTTCTTACCTTCTGTGTGCTGCTAGGTTGCCGACTGCCAACAACTTGCAGTGGTTGCTGGCGGCCAGCAGTGGTTGGGTTGGTGGGGGTGCTTTGTTGATTTTCCAAACTTTTATTATAGGGTTGTTTTTGCTAAGTTTTTAAATGCAAGGGGTTATAATAATCCAAATAATAATCAATATTAAAAAATAATATAATAATAATAATTGATTAGAGGACAATTCATTAATTTAAATAACATATCCACTAATTTATTCCTCCAAACCAAACATATTAATACAACATACCCACCAACTAACCAAACACATTTTCTTAAAGATTCCCAGTAATCTTCAAGGTAATCTAACTTTCCAGTAATCCAACATTCTCTGAACCAAACACACCCTTAAAGGTAACGCTAAAATCAGTGTACCAGCAAGACCTTGGCTATATGGTCGAGTTTTGTTTCATTGTTCATCCGGAAGATGCTAAACTAGTTTCTTAATCCGAGAGTAGATTCCTTGCTAGCTGAGTTTGCACCGCTCTTCGGTCAACCCATAGGGCTTCCCCCTCCTTATAGACAAGACGATTCCATTACCTTAAAAGATGGCACCCAACCCCTAAATATCAGGCCCTACAAATATTTGTATTCTCAAAAGAATGAAATTGAAAGGTTGGTTAGTGAGATGATGACAGCCGGGATAATACAACCTAGTATCAGCCCATTTTCCAACCCAGTGTTGTTAGTTAGAAAGAAAAACCACAATTGGCGATTTTGCGTGGACCACAAAGCACTAAATGATATAACCATTCCAAACAAGTTCCCCATCCTAGTCATCAATGAATTGCTAGATGAATTGGGTGAAGCCAATTTTTTTTCTAAACTGGACCAAAAATCTGGTTATCACCAAATTAGAATTCATGAAGAAGATGTTCTGAAGACGACTTTTTGAACTCATGAAGGGCACTATGAATTCTTAGTTATGCTGTTTGGGTTGACGAATGCTCCCTCGACGTTCCAAACACTCATGAATGACATTTTTAGGCCTATTCTTTGCAAGTTTCCATTAGTTTTTTTTTTTTTTTTTTTTTAAATAATGACATTTTGATATATAGTCTTGATTTTTTGTCTCATTTGGTGAATCTAAGGCATGTTTTTCAGACCCTCTAGGAGCATAACTTGGTGGTTAACTAGAAAAAAATGTTTATTTGCTCAAGAGAGACTTGAGTATTTAGGCCACATCATATCAACCAAAAGGGTGGAAGTTGATCCTTCAAAGATTGAGTGCATGTTGTCCTGGCCTGTTCCCACTACTTTGAAGAGTTTAAGAGGGATTCTAGGCCTCACAGGTTATTATCATAAGTTTTTTAAAAATTATGGTCAAATTGCTCGACCCTTGACCTAATTACTCAAGAAGGATGCCTTCAAATGGTCTGAAGAAACACATCAAGCTTTTGAGTGTTTACAGTGTGCCATGGTTTCAGCTCCAGTGCTCACAATTCCAAATTTTTCTAAGCCTTTTGAAATCCAAACTGATGCTTCGGAGCAAGG